CAAGCATATCAGACATATGGTGTTTGCACCCTTTCAAAAGATGCTGAACTGCAAGTTCTGTCAAACCCAGCCAGCACACCCAATTGTGAGAGATGCTAGAAGAGTAATTCAGCAATATCTACAAAGGCAGAAAATCCCTATTAACATATTGTGCGTTTGAAAATTTTGTTCAGTGAGTTCTCATCTAACATCTTTGAGTGACATGCAGTTCAGCTTTATTATGTGTTATATATTTTTATCTATAGAGTCAAAGAATAATGCTTTACACTAGTCAAGCCTTTGAAATGAGTTAGGAACAAAAACAAAAGACAAAACTAGTAAAAGGGGTAATATGCTAATCAACCAGTTTACCAAATCAACCTGTTCTTCTTTATAAGGCTAATCAATAAATTGGACCAGCTTTATCCTTACAAAACTGTCTGAAAAATCATTAAATTAGATCAGCTCCTTTTCATGATTTTTCATTCAAATCTGTAATATTCATAAGCAATACTGAGCATTATAATGCAATAGAAAGATGAGAGAATTAACTTTTAAAATATTCTTACATTCTGCAATATGCAATTTCTTCTCTTGGATTACGGAATTCTTCACTTGATAAAAGGATAAATTGTTGATTGTTGCAATGGCATTAATAACCAGTTCCTCACATTCCTCAACCGACTTGCACTCTAGTGATTTAGAAGAGACGGTTTTAGTAGTTTGTCATGATACTGATTATGAAGTTCATAACTTCAGTGATTCTAGTATAAAACGTTACACTGTCATACAATGAAGCCAAACAATCAACTGCTGTAATAAGGAACTGGCAACATTTCAAAAAAATTCTGATGCTGAACTCAGTCTTTTTGTCTGAGGCCATTTCGAAGCATGAAATCATGTGTGTATACAAATGGATGGATGTACACATTCATTTTATGAGACCCTTCATTGATAGATTGATTATGCGCCATCAAGTCAGCGTTGACTGTTAGTACCACATAGATTTTTTTTTTCCCCAGGAGAAACCCTTCATACTGACATCTGAATACATGATATGCCCAGCAAGAACCTTGGAAAGTTTTGAAAAAAGCAAAGAAAAATTTTTTTGAAGATAAAATTCCTGCCAATTCTCTTTTTCTAATTTCTGATATCAGCTAATAAAATGGATACCATGTCGATGACAATCACCGTAGATTTTAAAACGCACAGAATTGAAACTGAAAGAACTACAGGAATGCTGTCCCAATTATAGTGGCCTTTAGGGGCTACACGATTATGATGCAACAAGGTGAACTGAAATCAATCCTTTAAAATTGCCAGTTTATACAATATACAGCCAATACATGTTTTGCAGGATGTGGATTAAACAGCAGGACACTGAAAGAGCCAAGGAGCTTACAGATAAAAGATAGATAGATATTGGTGAACTTTTAACTACGGTATGCATCTAGTTCTGCATTTCTGAACCTTCCAGCCTTTCCCAACTTGGTGCCCTCAAGTTATGTTAGATTTCAACTCCAACTGACATGGCCACATCTGGATTATCCACTGGCCCTGCGTACCCAAGAACCTTTAAAAAAAATTGCTGCAGAAATTCCCTAATATAATGCAAATATATATTTATAGTTCGGGAAGGGGGAGGCGACAATTCTAAGCGTGTCTAGTGTTTTCGGAAAATGTACATTAATATCAGCCAAATGATTCTGATACTGATGATTTGTCTTCTACAAATTATATATTCAAAAAGCAATCCTTACCAAGTACTGTAATAAGTAATGCCACAATGTGATGATTAGTTGCCAAACCTGCACCTACATTTGGATGAATGGACAGATTGGCAATCACTCTTATCAGCTTGATGAGAATGTCTTCTGCTTCAGAAGGGTGTCTGAGATTCTTTATTTCGCCATCTTTCCACAGTTTATGATTGGGAACATTTTCACAGTAAGTTTGGAAAAGTGCTATGAGTGTATCAATGCTTCCTTGCTCCTCAAAAAATTGTTCCCGGGCTCGATTGTTCTTTGCTGTTAAATTGCCAAGAATGAAAATGATACGGATAACTAAATCCTGAAATGGAACATAAGAAAGGAAATAATTTGCTGCAAATAAAACAGATAATTTCCATTTCAATAAATAATTCAATAATGTTTGGGGGGGAAAAATCTAGTTCACTTCTGTTCATATTGAACAGAATATTCAATAAACAGTTCATATTTAAAAGTACAAAAGTGAAAGAATACATAATGCAACCTAGCACGATCTTATTTATCTATCACATTTACATATGCATANTAATTTGCTGCAAATAAAACAGATAATTTCCATTTCAATAAATAATTCAATAATGTTTGGGGGGGAAAAATCTAGTTCACTTCTGTTCATATTGAACAGAATATTCAATAAACAGTTCATATTTAAAAGTACAAAAGTGAAAGAATACATAATGCAACCTAGCACGATCTTATTTATCTATCACATTTACATATGCATATGGCAGTGATGGCGAACCTTTTAGAGACCGAGTGCCCAAACTGCAACCCAAAACCCACTTATGCATCCTCGAGTGCCGGGTGGGTGTGGCCCATTGGCTGGGTGTGGCCAACTGGGTGTGTGGCCAATTGGGTTGGTGTGGCTGCAGTGGTAACGGCAGACTGGGTGGGACTAAAAAGGTTCAATCAATCAATTTCAACTTTCCAAGATCTTTTTTTTTCCCGCAAGAAGTTGAAATTGACTGATTGAACCTTTTTTTTTTTTTGCACACGGCGGCAGAGGCCTAAAGCGAAAAGATTTTATAAAACCCAGCTGAAGGCCTAGGACTGGGGCGACGGCGCGCGTGCCCACAGAGAGGGCTCTGAGTGCCGCCTCTGGCACCCATGCCATAGGTTCGCCACCATTGGCATATGGCATTAGACATTCCTTACAGGAGCATATACTCTCTAGCAATATTTTCAAAACATAATTTTTCACAATTCTAAGCACACATTTATAACTCTGATTTCAATAACAGATCTAAATCAAATCTCAACACACTACCCAACTACAAATTATAATATTTATATAACCCAGTAATACTGTAAAAGTATTTGTGTAAAAGCAACACAGATTCAATAACTGTCAATGAAAGAGTTATTTTGTTGTGTATTATTGAGAATGGGGCTGAAGAAAATTTGGAAAACAGGAGATGGGAATTAATTTGCTTTTAGAATATCCATTCCTCCTTCTTCTAAACAAATACTTAGCAAAGAAAAACTCATTGTAAAACTGATTCACTTTTATCTTTAAGACATAATCCTCTTCTATTATAATACGTAATATTAAAATAAAGACATAAGTTTTGAGCAATCCCTTTCTGCAAGGAAGAACGTAATAGATGCATCAAGCAACCGATGTATGAGAAAAATGAACTTCAAGATGCTCATTTTCTAATACTGTTAAAAATTACTGGCTACCTAATGAGAATTAGGGAGTATTAAACAATGATTAACAAGGCTTATTATTAATAACTTATTTTCATCTCAGAAGTTTTATATCTGTATTTGCTCCAAACAACACTTACTAAGAACTTATTACTGACAAACTGAAACTCCTTCATTTTCCACATAAGAGAAGGAGGATTAGGACTTGCTGGTCAGCAGAGTCCTGTTATTCAGTTCTCAGGACAGATATGACGAGACACCATAGGATTGGAACAGGACTCCATATACCTGAATAAATATCACTACTCAGTTGAATTGAGCACATACTGTCACATGACCATTTAATAAAGTGTACTGATACACCCTGGAATAATCCATACTCTGCCTTGTGTGCATCAATACTCCTCTGCAGTAATTCATAGTAAAAGAGGGGGAAAGATTGCACTGTTACGGCATAGGCATCCAAAACAACAACAACAACAACAATAATAATAATAATAAGGGATTTAGCATTAAGAGAGAAGTGTGTGTATTTTTGCATCAGTTTGCTTCCTGCCTTAGTCCCTGCAGATTTCTTGGCAAGGTTTTCCAGATGTGGTTTGCTATTGCCTCCTTCCCAGGGGCTGAGAGAGCACGACCGGTCTAAGATCAGCCACTGCTTCATGCCTAAAGCAGGACTGGAACTCGTGTCCTCCTTGTTTCTAACCCGATGCGTTAACCATTGCACCAAACTGGCTCTTTCAGTATAAATTAGCACATTAAAAATGGACACAGGTTAAAAAATATAGAGCTATGTTAATTTGTAATGAATTGGGATCTTCGCACAGCAACGCAGTCAACAGAAACGTTCAATCTGCTCTTATTATTTGAGAAAATTTGCTTTAATGCAATCTTACTATTCTAAAAATAATTCTCTTTTTCCTTTTATTGGTTGTTCTTTCATTCCATTTAACCAAAAGGTTAAATATAGATGTTTCAGGACCAAGAAATTGCCAATCCCTTGAATCCGTAGATTCCCCTCTATCATTACAGCTTACTAAGTAGAAGCCTTGTACTATCAACATCAGGGGTCTTCAAACTTGGCCCTTTTATGACTTGTGGACTTCAACTGGAATAGTCTGTCAATCTTTCTCCCAGCATGGATTGATTGGGGTTTTTTTTGTAGTCTGCGGTATTGTTCATATCTTTGATTCAGATGTTTACTTTTTTTCATTCTTTTTTCAATTCCTAGATGGCTATTGCTTTAATTATTCTGCTATGTATTGGCATAAAAATATACCTTGTCTTCGTGATATTTTATAAAAGTGTCATTGCTTTTTCCTAGAAATAGTCTCTTCTTTATTTCTTTAGCATATTGTTCAGCTCAGGAAAACAATTATATACTATGTTTAATATTTATGCTCAGTTATGATAACTAAGCATACTGGTTAATATTGCTTTCGTTAATATCTTACATTAATACAGATTTTTAACTTTCAGTGTATACTTTCCTAGTTAACTTTTAAAAATCTTTATTTTTAGCTTTGTGGGTGTCATTCACAAAAATCAAACTGCTAGTGTTTTAACGTCCAGTTTGAATTTAGTGTGGTGAGCCAGTTTGATGTAGTGGTTAAGATGCTGGCCTAGAAACAAGAGACTGTAAGTTCTAGTTCAGGGATCTTCAAACTTGGCCCTTTTCTGACTTGTGGACTTCAGCTCCCAGAATTCCTCTGCCAGGCACGCTGGCTGAGGAATTCTGGGAGTTGAAGTCCACAAGTCAGAAAAGGGCCAAGTTTGAAGACCCCTGATCTACATCTACAGGCAGTCTTTGACTTACAACCAATAGCTTAGTTTAGTAACCGTTAAAAGTTACGACACTAAAAAAAAAGTGACTTGCAACCAGTTCTCGCACGTACCACAGCCACAGTATCCCCATAGTGACACGTTCAGGTGCTTGGCAACTGGCATGTATTTACAAAGGTCACTGCATCCCGGGGTTATATGATCGCCATCTGTGACTTTCCCAGCTGGCTTCCATCGAGCAAAGTCAATGGGGGAAGCTAGATTGACTTAATGGCCGTGTGATTCATTTAACAACTGCAGTGATCACTTAACGACCATGACAAAATAGGTGATAAAATAAAGTGCAACTCACTTAATAACCGTCTCGCTTAGCAACAGAAATTCTGGTCCTCATTGTGGTTACAAGTCAAGGACTGTATTGAACCAGGGAGCTGTTTCTAAGTGCCTAAATGGCTGAAGGCATTCATTTCTATCTGGTAAATACACATGAAATTTGTCTCTAAAAATGGACTAACATACATACAACGTAGGCGAATCAAAAGATTAAAATATATATAAAAAAACAGGAGATTAAAAAACTGACCTGCTTTGTTGGATATTTGTTTAGCAGGGCTAAAAATAAGGCATAACATCTGGAGCAATCCGCCAAAGCTGTACAGCAGTCGTTGAAGGAAGAAAGTTTGCTGCATGTTTGAAGCAATAATATAGATGAGGTTTTCTTTTACGACTTCTAACTAAAATCCAAATATTTTGTTCTGTTTTTAAACATTACTCAGAGTACAAAATAAAAAGGCCAGCATTCTCTGTTTTTAGGCAGTTCAATAGAAGGAACAAGCGGCAATGACTTTGATGACTAAAAAGAAAATCAATTCCGTCACAAGGAGTAATGATAATCAAAAGCTTAATTTAAGTTGCTAGTCGAAAATGACCCCCAACCTCTCTACTGCTTCTTTGAGTCCCACTATGACTTCTTGCAGACAACACAAACATCTTCAAGCATTTCAACAAGGAAGACAAAGCAGCAGCAGGCAAGGATAATGCAGCAGCAAAAAAAAACCATGAGGCAGTACCCATAAAAGAGAATATTTATAGCTCAGGGTTGAAATAAAGGTCCTTGGTGCAACCTTAACTTGGTTGTTCTTTTGCAGACGTGTCATTACCCAAACTAGGCAACAGCATCAGTGCACTGGTGACGTTACCTAGTTTGGGCAATGAAACATCTGCAAGAAAACAGTCAAGGTCAGGTTGCACCAAGGACTCCACCTGAGGAAGTGGCTGCTGTAGAAGCAAAGGGGTATTTTTATAGGAAGGAAGAAAAGAGAGCAGCAGCAGCAGTGGAGGGAGAAACGAAGATGGCAAGCCCTGAGGCCCTCAGCTGATGGCAAAAAAACCCCGATTTTGATTAGACCAGTGATGGTGAACCTTTTAGAGACCAAGTGCCCAAAAACAGGCCCCGCCCCTGCTCCACCCTCTGCCTGCCGCAGGGTCACTCACCGCCTTCAGGGCCCGCCGCAGATCGCCCAGGCAGCCCAGCAGCACCAGGGCGGCCACACCCTCTGCCCACGCCCTGCAGCATCAACTGTGCGTTGGGGCGTGAGGGCAGAGTCTTGTCTACGCTGCCTGGCTGCCATGTCCTTGGCTGTGCTGCTCCGCGTGGGCCATGCTCAGGGGCGACTCTCCTCTAGGGAGGCTGCTAGTGAGGAGAGGGTCGCGGGCGGAGGCAAGGCCCGGGCAACGGCATGTGTGCCCACAGAGAGGGCTCTGAGTGCCGCCTCTGGCATCCGTGCCATAGGTTCGCCACCATTGGATTAGACCATTTAACTATGGACTACTGAACAGAAGGGAGAAAAAGTCAACCTATGACTGTATCCAGTCTTAGATGCTGCCTGTTGCCATTGGCCACTGCTACAGATTTACAGATTTCCTCTTTAACATACTGACATTCTTTTTCTAAAGAATTCACACAAAGGATGGAATATAAGAAGTTCTCTGTGTTAAACAAGCAATGCCCCTATTTCATTCCTATGGGGATGTTTTTGATGACCTCTGCCTTAGAGCAGAGGTACATGGGGTACATGGACATACACATACATCCATTCAACTGCATCCTCAAATACAGAAACAGTAGTATTCAGCATAAGATCTTTGGGGGAATAGGCGGAACTTAATTCCTTAATCTCTCCCCAATAAATCAACTCAAAATTAATACTACACCATATCTAATAGTGAAAGGCAACAATCTTTAAAAAAGACACTGGAAGGGATCTTATGCTCTTCGCACCTAATGATTTTGAGGTCAAATTTCTGTTTTGCTTACGCTAAAGTCATAAAAAAAAATCTGCAATCTTGAGCACGGTTGCTATAAAGAAGGAGGAAGCAATGAAGTTTCTTCCTCCTATCTTATAGTAAACCTAAGGCAGGTTACAGCATTAGAAGCAAGGAACAAGTAATCCGTTCCCCACCACACTTATCTGCTGGCTGGGTGAGGGGCAGAAGTACTGACCCTCTTACAGAAACCACAAGTCAAAAAAGAAAATATACCCAAGGGCACCCAGCAGATTGTGGGTGGCCTGCTTGTGTTTAGATTGCAGAAGATTTGTGTTTTCTTATTCAAAAAGTAAGCCAATACAATCGTTCAGGAATTAAACATTATACTGATCCAAAGTATTTCAACAGACACATAACAGTACCTCCATGGAAGCAACAACTTTAATACATGATGAGGTGGGGTTGCTGAAGAGGAAAAAAGATTCTACATGATATTTTTTTAAAAAATAGTGGGGTTACCTGAATATTCTGGCCACATTGGTACACACATCCTTGTCACTCATGCGTTTCTCCAACGTGAGGCAGAGCTCTGGGATTGCTCCATACTCCAGGAATTTGCACCTTGACTGAAGTAAGTCTACCAAGTTCCGTAAAGTGGCAGTGAGCTGGAGAAAATACATTTAAATATGAATTAAACAAACACGGTAAACATAAATTTTATTAGGAGTACTGGATAGTTTGAGAAAAATGTAACAAAATGTTGCATAGCCTTTCTCTGATGGCAGTAGTATGAAACTCAGTGGTATGGAAAATTTAAAATAATATTAGGTTATTTAAACTCCAAAATATGAAACAATGATACAGGCTTGATTATTAAAAACAGACCTACTTGTAAGTCACTTTTATCTGAAAGAATTTTATTCATTGTTCGGAGCTGCTTGCTCTATTTTATCAAATTTATATAATTGTCCACCTTACAATACAAGGGACTCTCGGTGGAGTAGAAGAAATTTAAAAAACAATAGTTCACAAATAACAGCAACAATTATTATTATTATTGATAACATTAACAATTATAAAACACAGCTAAAACAAATCATGGGTGAAGGGATTATAAGGAGAGAGCCATCTTACTAGTTTGCCAGTTCCCAACCAGATGGCGCAACCAGTTCTTGACAGGCCTTTAAAAGTCAGGAGTGATGGGATCAACCTAACTCAGAAGAAGGGATATTCCACAATGCAGGTACCTTTGCCAAGAAGGTCCATTGCCTAGGACTCATCAAATGTAGCTCCCTAAATGACAGATCCCACACCATGCCCTCTGTCTTTGACTTATGTGTTATTCTTGTTTCACAACTGAACAGAGACCTACTAGGCTTCAGTTCATCTTTCTTTGAGCCAACTGACCCAAAACAAATCAAAATGTTCCTGTAAATCCCATCAGTTTTCATATCTCTTAACATGAAATCACCAGGATAAATTTGTTGTCTGAGTTCACACTGAGCCATTTTTAATGAACCTAGAACTTCTTTGTATTATGAATTTATTGAAAAGAGAGTAGATATTTTTCTCTAAAAACATAAAACTGGAATTTCAATTATTTATTTTGCATGTGCTGTCACATCTATTTTGATGCACAATTTTTACGTCATTAGGGCTATTGACAGATGGCAAGACGTAGTTATTTCTTCATATACGTTTACAAACAATTACCATTTAATTAGTAAAGATAGTAACAAATCTTTCAACATGATTTTAAACTTGAGGCTTCAGGTTATATGAGGTACTTATTGTAAGTCACTGAAGGCCCTGCTTATTTCTTAAAACATAAATCCTTTTGTTTGAACTGGCCCTTCTAATGTAAGAACCTGAATAATAACATTCAAGATCGCTCAAATGAGAGTTTTTTTATTATTTTAAACTTACATTTAACTGTTATTAAAATTCAGTAAATTGTTCCAATAATAACTGCAAGGGAATTCTCCTTCTCCACCACTACAAGATATTAATTACAAATTTTGCTGTTTTGGCGTTACATCCACTCCTGAATAGCAATAACTGTAACATTAACCTTTTATTTAGAAAAAAAAATATTTCAAACAATATGGAACTTTTCACAAAACAGATCAGAGCTTGGGACTCTTTTCAAGTCTCATGTAAAGCTAAAGAGCTTTAAAAGGTGATATTGTCTTACATGAAGGGGGTGGGCAGTTTCTAAAAATAGCATTAAATAAACAAACATTTACAGGAATCAGGAATCAATTTCAATATTTCATGATCAGCCTTATTAGAATAAGAGCATTCCCATCCCCCGTTAGTCATAGATGGAACACACATCTTGTGTCTCTCTACTTCAATTATTTCTTTCTTAATTTTATGTCCTGTCTTTTGTTCCAAGGAATGTTACACTGACACAATACGATCAGTTACTGTGGTTTTTGCAACTTTTATCAACAAGAAGTAACCATGCTGTCTTAATCTTAGACAAGAGGCACTATACAAATATTTCACATATAAAGTAAAATAAAACAGACGAATGCAAGACCCACATTCAGCAAGTATACATCTAGAGCTACTGCACATGATAGAAACTAGGAAGAAGTCACAGAAAGATAGAATTGCCTTATTTACTATTCCTTTGGTATGCAGTAAAGTATTCTCCAATAACTTCTATTAATAATTTATCAGTTTCTGATAACGGTCACTATAAATCACAGGTGTCAAAATCGCCGCATCACGTGACGTGTTGCGACGTATCGCAACTTTGTTTGCACTGCCGGAGCTGGGGTGGGCACAGCCTCCGCATGGTGCAAACGGCCCGCAGGCCGGCAATTTGACACCCCTGCTATAGAACATTCTGGAACTATTAAGTTACAGCGCCTGCTGTATATAAGATTGCTTTAGCTAATTCAGAAAACCTCACCAGGGTAGCACAAGGTTAGAACTGGAATAATATAGTTGAGTAGACTGAAAACTTGGAAAACATCTCAGAATAAAAGTAGTAATAAACCATTTCCACAATACCGTTAAGAAAAAAAACTCGGACGATCCACCAAGAACACCATTAGAAAGTTTGACACTTTTTTGTTGAAATAAATGAATAATTGAAATAAAAATGTAATTCTGACCTGGACCAAGAGATGTCCTGAGCTAGAAAATCGAGTATTGTCTTCATTAATTTCATTAATCATTCTCATTACTTGCAGCAGGATTTCAATAGCTCCCTTGTTGACCATTTCATTAATGAGCCTCGCATTGCCAGAAATAAATTTTATAGCACCAGTGCAATAAAGAAAAGCTTCAGTGTTTGTTTGTAAATCTTCAGTTCTCAGAATCTCAAGCAGAGAGTCTATGGAAAAAATTAACATGATGTGAATTTTCTCTCTAGTGCACTTTCACCCCCCTCCCCCGAATGAGATTTACTTCACCCAGGGCTTTTTTTTTTCTTTTTCTTTTAAAGGAACTGTCAAATAAAGTAATAACTTCTCTAACTAAGCTGCCCCAGAGTCACCATGAATGAGTTGGGCAGCCAGATACATTTTCCAAATTAATTAATTATTACTGATTATTGCACACAAAATTACTATAGCATTTCTGATGTAGTAAGCAATATAAATCTGATCAAATAAATAATTCTGCGTTGTTATTTATTTGCAATACTTTGATATAAAGGCATTCAGTGGGACTGCAAAGACAGTTGCTCAAGATTAATTTACTAGCTGCCATCCCAATAATTCAGATAATGGATGAGAAATAGCTGAGGAAATTTATTGAAGGGAAGGAAGTTGCAACAGTGGAACTTCCATTTATACAAACTATCTCTGGCTATTTTTTTCCATTGTAACTATGTGAACATATCCAAAATCCAAGGCCTGCATCGAAAGCTTTCCCAGGTCTAGGAAAGTTTTTGATGAGGACAAAGCAATGGAAATTTTTATTTTGCAAATATAGCCCTCAGTGATTGCAAGAAGGTCCTTTTTTTTAAAAAAAAGGAAATCAGCACACAATTTATTTTGCTTAAATGGAAGTTGCATATAATGAAAAGTCTTGGTCACAATAATAAAAGTGATTGGAGGCTAATTATTTTTGATTACTGGTATGTACTAATCACATGCGTCTTATTTCAGCTAAAAAGTATCTTGTCTGTCTGATAGTAATAACCAGCTACACAGTTTTTACTTTTTGATTTAACTGCCTTACTTTAATTTAAAAACAAAGAGAAGATGTAACATAACATAGTACGTAAAAAGTAAAAGGCATGTAAATGGAAATAAAGACTAGTAAAAACCTTAACTAAACGATCATTTAAATGTCTAATTAACCATAATCTGATCCAAAGTGTTACCATTTTCTTGTCCCAGAATTCCAGATGAAAGAATTGTGTGCAATATGTAAACAAAGTATTAATTTGTCATGGAAATTAGGATAAAAACTCAAGTTCCCTCCCATTCACCATTTAAATATGTCTTGCATCCCTTGATGCAGGAAGAATAATGTGATTTAGCCAAATCAGTGGGAAGGGAGAAGGAGTCAAGCAATATCTAATTGGTTTTTGGAATTCCATGATGAAACAGAGATCAAAGAATAAGCCTGGTGCTTAGTTCTCATTTCTATATATATACATATTTTTCTTGAATTCCAGCTGCAATTTTTATGTCTAGTTCCTACCCAGTAATAACATTTGTATTTCTGATAAGCCAGTGGTTCTCAACCTTTTTAATGCCGCGTAAGTCGAGGACTAAACCGGTCATAAGTCGAGGACTAAACCGGTCGTAAGTCGAGGACTAAACCGGTCGTAAGTTGAGGACTAAACCGGTCGTAAGTCGAGGACTACCCAACCGGTCGTAAGTCGAAGACTAAACCGGTCGTAAGTCGAGGACTACCCAACTGGTCGTAAGTCGAGGACTTTCCCTGCCCGGGAGCGCCGCGCATGCGTGGTTCCACCCCCTGCGCCGGCCGAGGCGTAGCTGGCAAGCGGCAGAGACGGAGCAGGCCGACCACCAGCTGGCCCAGCCCAAGGGAGGTAAGGCACCCGCCGGAAAAGGGGAAAAAAATGGCGGACAAAAAAAATGGCGGACAGCCTTGCTTGGCGACCCCCGTGAAATGGTCAATCGACCCCAAATGGGGTCCCGACCCACAGGTTGAGAACCACTGTGATAAGCTAATATTATCTTCATTAGCTTCAAAAACATTAACATGTTTAGGATAGGCAAAATCAGAAATAGGGGAAAAAAATAACACCAAAATGCAGATTGAAATCATATTTATACTGAACATTTGGCAGTTTCATATTTCCCCGCACATAATAGCAGTATATTATCTTTTCCACATTATAAAAGACATTCTACTGAGTCATAGGATAGCCTATTTACCTACCCAGGATTTGGTCATTCTCCATAAGGGAATCATTTTTTTCACTTCTGCTGATTTTAAATACTAATTTGCAAACATTAAGCAGATTCTTCCCACTCACTTTCAGCTATAAGGAAGAATGGAAAAAGAGAATATACATTAAATAGCTGTACCTTGTTTTAGCTATTCTTTTAAGAGCGGATATGCAACACAGCTCTCGCATTCCAGTTAGCCCTTGACTTAACCACCATTCGTTTTGTGACCATTCAAAGTTACGACTGCACTGGAAAAAGTGACCTAGTACTCTTTTTCACATTTACCACTGCAGGGTCATGTGATCAAAATTTAGATGCTTGGCAACTACTTCCTATTTCTGTAGTGTCCCGAGGTCTTTTGTGACCTTTTCACAAGCAAAGTCAATGGGGAAGCCAGATTCTCTTAACAACCGTGTTACTAACTTAATAACTGCAGTGATTCACTTAATAACTGTGGTAAGAAAGGTCGTAAAATGGAGCAAAGTTCACTTCACTGTCTTGCTCAGTGACAGAAATTTTGGCCTCAAATTTTGTGGTTGTAAGTCAAGGACTACCTGTATGTACAGGCTGTACTTAACTGAAACTAGAAACATTGGCAGCTTTATCATGGCTTTCAAACATATTCCAAAACAAATACTCAAATAAGAGCTCCCATATCAAATTATCAACGTGTGACAGCCATTTATCTGATCCAAGATTATTGGAGACAGAAAAATCTACATGAAAGGAAGTGAAAAAACATTAAATATGATTTTAGGCTCCTCCATTTATACACCAGCATTCAATACTAAATCATATAAAAGAAAGCTTCCTGTAACATCCAACATAACGGAATGTGATTTTAAAATTATCTGCAAGGTGCTGGTTAATATAATGACGTTAAACCGCTTTTCCATGTTATACGCATTTGGGTAATACTAACTGAAATAGTCCTGCTTTAGACACTACATTACAGGAAGAAAAATGTAATTATTATTATTATCCAGACAGATATATTGCACTTCCATATACATATAGAGAATCTGAATTTCCTTGATGAATAGATTTTCCGTTCACTTGAATCCAGCATACCATTCTGAATATGTGAATGGGGAAGTTGTTGAAAGTAGGAAATTGTTAAAAACCTAGCAACGAGTTCTTATAAGTTATTGCATAGCTACTAGGTCAGCGGTTCTCAACCTATGGGTCGTGACCCCATTTGGGGTCAATCGACCATTTCACGGGGGTCGCCAAGCAAGGCTGTCCGCCATTTTTTTCCCCTTTTCCGGCGGGTGCCTTACCTCCCTTGAGCTGGGCCAGCTGGTGGTCAGCCTGCTCCGTCTCTGCCGCTTGCCAGCTACGCCTCGGCCGGCGCAGGGGGCGGAACCACGCATGTGCGGCGCTCCCGGGCAGGGAAAGTCCTTGACTTACGACCAGTTGGGTAGTCCTCGACTTACGACCGGTTTAGTCCTCGACTTATGACCGGTTTAGTCCTCGACTTACGACCGGTTGGGGTCGTGGCATTAAAAAGGTTGAGAACCACTGTACTAGGTAATGATTAGAAGGTCCTGACAAATGTCTCAATTACCATTATAACAAACATACGTTCAAATAAATTAAATAGTATATCACCAATTACATGACCATGATATGATAGTAGCTGTTGCCACCACTTTGTAAAAATGTTATATAAATTTCTGGATGGTTTAGGAGAGATACCATACACTATAATAATGAATATTTGTTTTCCTCTTGAACTTCTTCTGCTATCTATTTCCTTGGTATTCAACCAATCAAGTCAGAAGCCAGAGAACGTGGTTTATGACTTATTCTAGGATTCAAGTAAATGTATTCAAATGAATGCAGTTGTTATACCTTGAAAGCAAAAACTCTCACAAAGTGCAGCTGGTTTTTGACATACAATTTAATTCAAAAAAATTGATTAAAGTAAGCACATGCTATTTTTATCTACTACTGTGTGCTATCACTTGGGCTGAAATTTTATATTTATTTACTTGGAAGTAAACTCGGTTCTAGGTAGCCAAAGGAAGAGCTGCACTGTTAATCTCCTAGATTTCAAGTAAACTTAACAACAGAACAAAAGAAAATTAAATGTAATTTTAAAGAGCGTAAAGCCGAATTCTGCAATCTCCTGCAAAAAATTGATTTAGTAGTTAAAGTTTAGTCCCATTTCTCAGGGTATAACTAGCACTTTCACACATGTATCATATGATCACATTCTGTAACAGGCATGACATATTTAACTTACACCCAGAATGATTTTTGCCAATTTCAAGCCAAGAGGATCTGAAGTAACATCAACTAATTTATATAACACTTTCAACAGTAAATTTCGCCTCTTGAATCGCTTGCCAAGCATATTTCCTTCTTCCAATGTTTGATAAAGAATAGCACAGGCATCACAAAGTTGTTCTACGTTGTTTTCTGTTTGATTTGAAAAAAGCAGAAGGTAAAATTAATGATCCAATATTTTACAGAGAAAGGATTTTTTTTTTAACAAATACCACAAAACCTGCACTATCAACAAACTATTGTAAATTTTATGGACTCAACTGAAGGAGTAAAAACTAAATAACTAGCTTTTGGTTAGTGTCATTCTAATAGATGTTTATATGACCATCCCCACCTTTCCCAGAAATAGCATGCATTTGTCTTCAACTAGAGGTAACTAGACACCAGACTAGGGTCAGGTGTAATCTGCTAACATCTTTTTCATAGGCAATTATGTTTTCCCAGAAACATAGGATCAAAAATATGGGAGTTCTTTGGACTGATGTGAAGATGAGGGAACTGAAGCAGTGAAATGAATATATTGCACCTGACAGATGCTTAGGGCATTCATTTCACCCCTTAAAATTCCTAAAACCATTTCCAAAACGTGTCATGGCTCCACTTATTTTTGAAACGTGGCCTCAAATATGCCACTGAAAGCCTACTGCAGATCTTGGGCTCCCCTCCCTGATTCTTAAAACACTAATCTAAGCAAGCACCCTGTACAATGCCAAGACATAAAAACTGCAACACAGAATTAGTGTTGTATTTAGCAATGGCTTGTATTTGTTATGATTAGGAAAAAATACCCACAAATATGGTGGTCTCAATGTTTTCGTCTTTTAACTTCTAATATGGGATTCATCATTCAAAACATCTAAAATGTACCAGGCAGCCCACTTTTAGTACATGTCATTAATATTTACAGATTCTTTGAAAGCTTATTGTATGCATTCTCAAAGGACTTTTAAACCTTGCAAATACATCTATATGTCTCCATCCCACTTTGCCACCAGGAATATAGGCTATCTTGCCAGCAACGGGACTGTTTAAAATTGGTAATAGGAAAAATATTATTAGAAATAATGAATAGAATGAAGCCTTGAAAAGTCTAGTTTATGAAACCCAAACAAATATTACAGAACTATATTATTTACCAATCTCTAATATATGTAAAATTGGTAAAACTTTTGTTTTCCAATAGCTTTCTTCCTCTTCTTCCATTTCGCTTGCTTCCAAATTATGTTCTGAAACATATATCATTGAAGAGATATATTAACAATGATTTTCAAATAGTCACACAACAAAACTTATGGCAAAACATTTAATAGACTGTAATTTGTTCTATAACAGTATGTACCAATCGGGTAAAAAAAAAATATTGCAACAGAAATTTCTTACTAATCTAACTTCAACAGTCTCTGTAATAAAAAGAAGAAAAACAGGAAACTTAAGCAAAGGCAGACAAGTTCAGAAGTTCCTTCTCTCAGTGGTTTATTGGTATAACCACAGCTTTGTATGCTGGTCACAAAAATGACACTGGTCTACATTTATTGGCTGCTGTTTTTAGCATGTAAAATCCAAGAGCCTTAGCAACACTGAGCTTCAGAGAACTGAATGTTAGTTATCTTAAAAATCTACCTACTGTTACAGAAGAGAATTATTACAATTCTAATAAGTAGTAACTTGCTAGTTTTTCACTTGAATAAATTAACATTTTCTTTTGGTTCACAGAAATCTTTCTTTAATAAAAGCACAAAAAAGCTGAGGCACTGCAACATGCCTGGGAATACACAACAGATCAATCTGGAGAATTTAGCTTTGCCAAACATGATCTGGGCTCTCGTGTCACAAAACCAATACCTATTTTCTTTCCTGTAATAAAATTACACATGTATGCATGTGTGCACATGCCACAAACACACAAATGGCACTCCTTTTTATTTACAAAATCATGTGCTACAAATTTATATGGCTCTGTATGGCTTAAAATCTTTTCCTCTCCTTCTTTCCAAGTTGGTAAGAAATATAGCAGAGTGCCAGTATCAATCTTCTTGAAAGTCACATATAATAAATAATAACAATTACACAGGAAACAAAATGATATGGATGTGCAAAATATTCCACGCACATTCCTGTGTATGGAATCGGCTGTACCAACTAGTCTGTTCCACACAAGTTTAATCCAGAGACATACTCAGAATATGCACAGTAAGTTCTGGGCATGTTCCAGGGAGAGTGAAAAATGGGAAAACATAATGCCATTGGTTACAGCCAGATTGTGATTCCCCTGATACAGTCTAACTAAAATATCATCTGAGAGCACATTTTCCACTTGATCTGGTACTCCACAAAATGGATATTAGATAATATGGAAAATGATACCAACATTCACTTTCAAAGAGTTTCCATCTTCTGAAAGAATACAGAAGGGTAACAGGGATGCCTTCCATTCCCAACTCCCTCAAGTGCTCTCTCTCTCTCTCTCTCTCTCTCTCTCTCTCTCTCTCTCCCCCCCCGTCTCTCTCCGTCTCTTTCTGTCTCAGCTTAAATGGGTTGAATCTAGGGAAGGTTACATAAGCAAGATCCTCACCACTAGGCG